AAAAGTGGCTGGAGGTCAAATTCTAAATCCTGCAGGAACATACTATCTACTACAGACTATATCAGGGATCAGCAGCACCTCCCAGGCACAAAAGTGTATAGATAATATTCCTGAATTGGATCAAGTCTCCTCAGTATCTGTTATCAGTTTTAACTAAGAGAATAGTGCTGTAATTACAGGCTACAAAGTAAATTGACCACCATACTTGCTATATAGAAGTAATTGCTGGAAATTCAGTACCTTATACCTTTTCTCCAAGAAATGAATGAGGAAGCGGAGTCAGGCTTTTGGGCTAAGCACCACAAAGATCAAGTCCACTCCTGTAAAATAATAAAGGAGAATTCAGGGGGACCTGAAATTGGCCTAATGAAATATTATTTTATTTATTGCTACAGTATCATTTTTTGGTAGGTGAAATAATTCTGTACTCTCATTGAAAATACTGCAACAGAAGCATTATGCCAAAAAGAAATCTGAGTTGGTTACAAAGAAGCTGCAGCATTTCAACAGTATCATTTAAAAATTAAGGGACAGGCAACAACAACATTCACAACAACAAACCGAGAAAGTTATTTTCTTTATGTTTTTTTTTTTTATCCTTATATTATCATATCTGCTCTGCTGCAAAAACCCAGCTGGGTTTTTCCCCCTCCTAAGAAAAGCCAGATGCCCTCTTTCTATCTGCCAACAGGCACTTTTCTGGAAGCAGAGACTCAGTGTGTTTACATCTAATGAAAACATCCCACAGATCCATCAAATAAAGTACTCCAACATTGTTAATAATTGCCCACTGTTAATAAAACACCACGAGGATAGATAATGTAAAATAGTCCTAAATCATTACTAACACATACAAGATTCTTGTTTTATTTCTTAATAGTCTGTTTGCTCCCATTTATAAATTCCAAACACTGGGACTTCAGCTACTCCCCATAAAATGCACAGGTAGCAGTAATTTGCAGCAAACATAAAACAAAATTGTGAAAGCAACAAAAGAACATGACAGAATCTGGCAGAATGAATCCAAACGAAGTGTTTGGGACCTGGGTTCACCAGAATGCCCTTGGTCCTCATACACACGTGCTTCCATCACTCTGCTTTCCACAGAAGCGAGATTGCGGGGCATTTGATCATAAATTCCTGGGATGACTCTTTCTCCTTGTTTGTGGGATTTATTTTTTAATTGTGTTTACATTCTTGTGTGTGGGTTAGGAATTTTGCTTTTGTTTGACTCAACATCAAAGTTGAGTCCCAAATTAATGCCGTGCAGTCATATATTCCTTGCACCTTCCCACAAGAGGATAGCCACACACAGCTACCAAGTTTTATGCAAATATAATGGGATTAAAGTAATCTAGAAATCTTTGTGTGATGTGTTTTTGTTTTCTCATCCAATTTTCCTGCTGTTATTTTTCCAATTATTTTGCTTATTGAATACCTATTTTCAGATTAAAAAACAAGCTGTCTGAATCTTCTGAAATAAAAGAATTCACAATCTGTAAACACACAAGTTTGTTCAGTTGATATTTAAATTCTGTTTGCCAGAAAGCTGCATTTTAATCCTGACACATGCCCTGCACAGGAGTGTGGACATTAATCTTTCCCACATAGTGGTTACTGTACAAATCACACACAGGAAATTATCAGCAGTGAAAGCAGATAAAACTCACCCTGAGATTTGTGGATCAACCTGGATTTGTGACAGAGTCTTTGCAGCTCTCAAAAGCTACACAAGTAATTCAGCAGAAGTGGTAGTAAATAAAAACCCCTTGAGTTGTGCAGAACTTTGGTGTTTCAAAATCAATAATGAAGACCAGAGTGTGAGGTTTGTGAGAGGTGCCAGAGAAGGCACAGCTGACAGATTCTCACCAACAACAATTTAACCAAAGTCAACATTTGAATGTTACTCCAGAAACTATTTCTCTCCCAAATGTTGAGGTGTTTTCCATGCAAAACACTTACATCTGAGCCTCCTCTTCAGGTTTACACAACACATTAACTGCCAGCACAACAATCCAGTGGAGCAATTAATTTACACTTTGCAAACTGAGTATTTCAGCTGTGGTTTGGGATCCTTCTTCACCAGGATCAGTTTCATATTTAGCCACTTCTGACTGCTTCCTTAGCTTTTCTAGGAAAGAATTTCATCCATCCATTCCACCTCTGAATTATAAACTAGATTGGGGAACTCCATCTGCTTTAAAAATATATCCATCTATTTTAAATGTGTTTATATATTTAACATAAAATATATTTGTAGAGATTTTCACCTGGTTTCTTTTGCAACTGGATCAGTGTCCTGCTCTGGTTCACAGTGCAGAGCTAAGGGTTGTTGTGCCTCGTTGCCAGGGCAGGAACGGGAGCAGGTAGGAACCAGTAATACAGCAAAGTCTTTGTGTCATCAAGCCAAGCCTTATTTAAGATGTGTCTGCTTTTGCCTGGGCTAAAAATTAGTTTCAGTTCCTTACATTTGTGTTAGCTCTGCAGAAGAGACCTGTGTGCTCTGTGAGTCCATTTAGTAGCCATGACTCAATGGGATTCCTTTATTACAAAACCAAACCAGAATTCCAGCACGCTTATACAATAAACTTTCACCAGATCTTAATTATGTTTGGTCACACTGTCCACTCAGAAACAGCTGATAAAAATCTCCAGCGAGTGCTAACTTGACAGAATTCCTCATTTTGAAGATTTGCATCCATTTGAGATTTCCCTGGGGTTTGTCTCCTCAGTACCCCAAGTTCACCCACACATTTCCTGTCCTCACCCTGGAGCTGCATGGAAGAGGAAGAGGGAATGGTGCTGTGCTAAGGTTTAAACCTCTCCTCTCGGGAGCTCTCCAGCTCTACAGAGCTCAGCTTAAGCTTTGCCTGTTTACAGGCCAGGCTGTTCAGTAGAAATGAGCTCTGAGTTAATGAGTTCAAGCTCAGGTGTGAGGTTGGGGCGCAGACCCACCCTGATGTCTCTGCACCAGGTTCTGGTGCTCATGCCTGAGCTGGCAATGCACTTCCAGATTTATTCCTAAAATATTTTTTGTTCACAATGATCTTATGGATGCTTCCCAGCCTCCTAAGCCTTGGTGCTTCAGAGGAAATCCTATCTGACATTTAATTTATCCTAACCAAAATCAATGGGCTTGCAAAGCTGGATCATAGCTCTCAGCTGAGCCCTACAAAATCACCTTACACTTCATGTCCTGTGGAAACATGGATCTTATGTGGGCAAAGATGGATTGTTGGTGTGCCTCAGTTCCATTAGATTTACAAGAATAATCTAAATAATATAATGAAAGCACTTTGCTGCTTTTTCAGTACATGGTGTACCTCCTACAGCCTCACCTACCTGTGCAACACAAATATTCCTCGCTTGCTCCCAAGCACAGCTCACAGTCCCTCATTGTAAGACCTCAACAGACAAAAATGGGGAACAGAATGAATTAATGAGGTAGCAATGAACCAGAAAGACTTAATAGAAAATTTGACACAAAAGGGACAAACTGAATTTAAAAACTGATAAGAAATCATAGAATGGCTTGGATTGGAAAGGATCTTAAATATAATTTAAGTTCCAGTCCCCAAATAAAAGATGATCTCTTCTCTCATCTATTGACTATTAGAATAACACAGATCCCCAGCCCTTCTAAAGGAGAGAAGGTGTTTTCAGGACATGGAAAGGACTTTCTCCTCCCTTCATTTAGGTCTGTATCAGCAGCTCTTTAGAACATCCTAAATGATCAAATGCAGACAGGGGTGTGTTAGTTCCATCTACCCTACATTACCTCTCAGTGTACAAAAGTTCTCTTCCTAATAAATCCTCCACTACACCGCTGGTTCAAAGTCTATTTTCTTTTCTCTATTGTCACAAACATCATGCTCTTTATTACATCATGACCCTCTTGTCTGCAGAAAGAACAATTCCAAGGCTGTGTGATGAACAAGAGAAAGAAATGATAACCCAGAAACTATAATGGGTTGTGCTTTGTGGGGTTGGGTCTCTTCCTTTGGTAGGAACTCCAAGCTTGGACATAGTGCTTACACAGCTTGGAAACTTAAACTGTGTGTGTGGTGTCATTTTGCTGTTTGAAGCAGATTTCCTGGGAGTTTCCTCTACAGGAACACTGGAACCACTTGGAGTTTATAGAAAGGACAGGTAAATCAGCACTCCCTGGTATCCAGGGCCATCTCTTCCCCTGAGGGGAGCAGGAATTGTCCCGTGAAGGGAAGCAGGGATGCCCCCGGGGGATCGGATTGCCTTGAGGGCAGCAGGGATGTCACAAAGGGAGCCGGGTTGTCCTGAGGGAAGGAGGAATGCTCTGAGGGGAGCGGGAATACCTCAAGGGGTGAACGCGCTGAGGGCAGCGGGGATGCCCTGAGGGGAGTGGGAAGTCTGGGGCGCGCCCTGAGGGCAGCGCGGATGCCCCGAGGGCGGCGGGAATGGCCCGAGGGCGGCGGGAATGGCCCGAGGACGGCGGGAATACCCCGAGGACAGCGGGAATACCCCGAGGACAGCGGGAATGGCCCGAGGGCGGCGGGGAAGCCCCGAGGGCAGCGGGAATGGCCCGAAGATGGCGGGAATGGCCCGAGGACGGCGGGAATAGCCCGAGGACGGTGGGGAAGCCCCGATGGCAGCAGGAATACCCCGAGGGCGGCGGGAATACCCCGAGGGCGGTGGGAATACCCCGAGGGCGGCGGGAATACCCCGAGGGNGGTGGGAATACCCTGAGGGCGGCGGGAATACCCCGAGGGCGGCGGGAATACCCCGAGGGCGGCGGGCGCCCGAGGCCCGGGACGCGCCGCAGCCACCGCGGCTCCTGCGGCGGGGCGGGCCGAGGCCGCCGGGTGCGCGCGGCCCGGGGAGGCGGTGGCGGAGGAGGCGGAGGCGGTGAGGGGAGGGCAGGGCAGGGCTGAGCCGTGCCGGGCGGGCGGGCGAGTGACACCTGGGCGGCTGCGCTGCCTCCTCCTCCTCCTCTCACGTAGGTTTCGACTTTCTTCCCCGCCCGGAAACTTGGTGGAGGCGCCGCGCTCGCCGCCGTCGCAGGCCGGCTTGGCGCTGGGCTTGCAGCGCCTCTTCCCTCCCCATCCCGGCGGTGAGCGAGCCCTGTCCGGCCCCGGCGGCCGCAGGTGAGCGGGGACGGGGCGGGGGCCGTGAGGGGGTCCGTGAGGGGCGCGGGGTCCCAGCGGGCTGAGGCTCCCCGAGGAACTCGGCGGGTCCGGACCGGCCGAGCGCCGTGAGGGGCTCGGCGGGTCCCACCGGGGCTGAAGGGATGCGGAGCCCCTTCAGGGTCTCGGGGGTTCCCCGAAGGTCCGGGCTGAGGTTGGGGGTCCCCGAAGCTCCCGTTCTCCCGGCGGGGAGCTCGGCCGTGGCTGCAGCCGGTGTCTCTTATCAGCGACACGGGCAGCGCAGGTGAAGGCTGCCAGCCCCGGGGTTTAACTCTTCGCAGCTGCTGCCTGCCACCAAACCCGGCTTTTCTGCTTGTGGGGCTCGCAGGGAGGCAGCCGGGCAAAAATGTCTTTGCTAGGAGACGGAGGGCGGCAAAGTCGGCGAGTTTGCTGGTAATTAATGCAGGGGGAAAAACGCCTATAAATAGGAGTTGAGATAAACAAGGAAAGCACAGCGAGGTGAGGATGTGGACCTTTTGGAAATACCTTAAAGGTGAGAAGTACAGGTGATGATAAGGCTTAGCTTAACCCAAAGACTAACCATTTATCTGTAAAGATTTTTATTTAAGAAAGGTTTTTTTATGAGGGGTGTAAAGCGGGGTGGGACTGTGTGCTGCTGATTCTGCTCTGCTTGGCTGGGTGCACTTGTTATCTCGAGGATAATGACAGAAGGAGAGAGATCTGATGGAGAAGGAGCAGATCAGGTAGCAGCCAGCTGATGCCAGCGCAGGAGGTGGCAGGGACAGCGGGACTGCCCCTTTCGGTGGCACTGCAGGCTTAGTTTGCTTTCAGCCCCGCTGGAAACGGCACTTCCAAGTCCTTGAGCGGTTTTTGGGACCTACTTTACCTTCGGAAAGTAAGAAATGAAAAATGAGTGCTTCCCTGCTGCTTACCAAACCGAAAAACTGTCATGTTTAAACTTCTATTCCAGTTTCTTGGCCAAGGCAAAAGGACCAGAAAATAAAGTTTCTGTAGGAAAAATATTCCAGCTCGAGTGCAGATATAAGTGGTAAGGGAGGTCTCTGCTGTGCAGAGTGTGTCGCAGCAGGGGCACAGTGTAGATAATTGGCAGCCCAGAGAAATTTCTGTCCCTGTCACAGAACTCCAGAGTTGTCCTGTGTAATCCTTAAGCCCCTGGAAGCTCAGGCAGCCCCAGGGTTTGGGTGGTGGAGGGAGCTGGAGCTCTCCTGCAGCAGTGCCAGTGGTGTGCTGTGCCTTTGAGGGACGGCACTGACGTTTGTCCTTGATGCCGGAGCTCTTGGCAGCTCTCCAGCCAAGGGAGAGCAAATTCCACACATGGCTTCTTCAAAACAAAACTTCTTTCTCTGAAGTTGCACACTCCAAGTCGTCTTTCACAATTGCCCTGAGCAGATGTAGTGTGTCTGCTGCTGAAAAGGGCCTAAGGCAGTGGGAATATTTATTCCCTCCCCCAAAGGGATTTGCTCCCTGGACCAGCTTAGGAAGTCAGAACAGCACCAGTGCTTGTGCAGGGCAAAACAAAAGGGTCATATGGCTGGGGATGGAGCAGGGAAATGATAAACAGGAGGCCAGCCTTCTCTGGGGACTCCCCAGCTGGAAATCTCAGCCGTGCTGGAAAATCCACACCTTCACTCTCCCTGCGTAAGTGTTAGCATGCAAGCTGGGGGCAGATGGGATTCATTTAAATAACGGGGATATGCTGGCATAAACCCCATGGGATGAACGGGAGAGGACGACCTGTGGTGTACAGCATAAAGGACCATCTGTTGAATGTCAAATTTCATGTTTTTAACCAAATCATTACTGAGGGAGGTGAGCAAGAGTTAAAAAAACAACCTAGCCATATGGCCTGGGGAATGAGGGCTCAAAAAGGTGGAAGAAGCAGCTCCAGAAGGGACCTGGCAGTTACGTGACTTCTAAAAAACCCCCTGAGGTTTGAAGATACCAGGTGAAACAGGTTGAGATTGATTCTGGATAAGCTTAGTGCTCCCTGAATGGCAATTCCAGTAACTCGGAAATTTTAATTAATGGGTTTGTAAACTACAGTAGTGCAGTACTTCCCCAAATGTGGTTCATAAAAGAATTTACACATTTATGGCACTGTAGAATCTTAGACTTCCATACGTAAAATAATAAATATTACTGCATAATAAAGTACCTGTAGCTCGTGAAACACCCCGGCTATATTTTCTTTTCTCCTTGCACTGCCATATATATCTTACTTTCTGCATTAAAATAAAAACTTCCTGCTGCAACAGCTCTATTGATTTCACTTTGAAAATGAAGCTGCATCATTTCATTCTGCTTGTGTGGATCTCCCCAGAGGAGTTGCAGCTGTTGCCTTACTCACAGGCCTGAGTATGTTTTGCTGGTTTGATACAAAACCCTCTTGTTTGGCTTTTCCTTCTCAGTTTACTTTAGTGGAGCTGCTCGTACAGTTGTGAGGAATTGTATTTGACAATCCCTCATCAGTTTATGGTCCCTGATTTATACCACATAAAACGTTGCTCTTGGCTTAGAAATTTCTTGACACCAATGGAGTCTGAAAATATGAAAATATCTGGCAGTTTTTCTGATATTTCACTTGAGAAATTGCCCATGAGTTGGTATCTCACAAGCCATCTAAAGGGTTAGAGGGGATTTAGATGAATGAGTAGTAAGAATTACTGTGCTGGGCCAGGAAAAAAACACTTAAGGCTGGAAGGAGGAAAATAGAATAAAGCTGGGTTAATTTGGAGAGACAATCAGCAGCTTACAGGCAAAGGCTTTTAAAATTTATATATATATATACATATATAGTGGTTCACTGTGCAAATTTTATTTGGAGACTGAAGTGTTCCTTATTTGGAATATTCTCCAAGGGAAGCACTAGAAGGGATTATGTGTTTTGTAAAAGTGTTTTCTAACTTTGCTACTCTTTGCCTGCACCTTAAATCATGCAAGTTTTGTAAACAGCTGCAGCAGAGTCTCTTTGAAAGCTGATTTTCTGACAGTTAAAAAGGAGTTGAGATAAAAATTGCTCTGTTCCTCTGAGGGTTCAAGGGGGGCTCACCTTGAACCATCAGTGTAGCCGTTGCTGAAAGCCCAGTAAATCATAAGCAGCCCAATTTGTAAAGTTCTCAGACTTATCTAGGAGTGGGTGGTTTGATAACAGAGAAATTCTTCTCACTTAATAACGGCAGCAGTCCTGCCCTGGGAACTGAGAGCTGAGGATTTCCTCTTGTACATGATCACAGCTGATCAGGAACAAAAATTGCTGCGTGATTATTTGAAGGAGGATACATAAAAATAAACATAACGGCTGTCCTGGGCCTTTTAGTCCTGAAGCTGTGAGAGCAGCACCTGGAGCTGCTTTAGCCCAGATCTCTGGGGGTGAAAACCGAGTGGAGAAGGGAGATTCTTCCCCAGTTCCCTCCCCACAGCCGGTTCAGGAGGAATGTGGCTGTTGTACTGATTTGGGAACAGCTCAAGGACTTTGCTCTGTTGCTTCAGCTCCCTTAGCTGATGAGGCAGCCACTCCCATTTTATAATTATTTTTAGAACAAGGGAAAATATAATTATCAATTCACACAGATTGCAAATGTGCGCCCCATACGGCAAGATAACAGTGGGTTTTGAAGTTCTGCTGCTGGCACCAGCTTGGACACAGCCTTAAATCGGGATAAGATTTGACAAGAAAGAAACACATCCCAAAATGCCTCTTGCAGTTTTGCTTCTCCCAGGTGTGAGGGTTGTTTGAAGTCGGTAAGATACACCAGGAGAAACCGTATGAAATTGGATGTAAAGGCACCTTCAATTCCACATGCAGCTGTGTAAGCTCCTGAGCCATTAACACAGATGTTTTAAACAGTAGAGGATGTCTCAAGTCTTCTAAAAATGAGATATAATACTGTTCTGTCTGTCTCTAGGGGACGGTAATCTTAATCCAGAGACCTTTATTTTTTATTTTTTTGACTTCTGCTGTTTCATTATTTACTTAAGACCTGTCACCTGTGGTGAAGGGCATTACACTACTGGTTGCAGCAGCTCTGCTACCCAGAGGCACTGACAGAGTTTAAGTTCACTTCAAACTCAGCTGCAGCTGCCCTGGGGAGCCACAGTTTGAGAAGGTTTCGTTTTGTTTAAATGAAGGTAACTTGTTTTCTTTCTTTCCCCTTTACCATGATCTGAGGGTGAGATGGAATGTAAAGGGGAATTACAGACTTAATTACCTCTTAATTCTGCTCTTTTAGTTAGTGTGAACAAGCTCGGGCTGGAAAGTACTTTGCATAAAAAGCCCTCTTACCCCGTGAAAGGAGGTCTGAGCAGGGTAATGTGTCCTGCTGTCACCCATGGCATCGGGCACAGGAGCTGTTGGGAAAGAAGAGCCATCCAGGGGAAATGTGCTGGACCCCCTGGAACGACTCTCAGCCATCCTGCCTTGGGCTTGTTTTGTGGAGCTGAGATTCCAGGTGCCAAACTCTTTAAACAGAACATAATTTTAAAAAATAGTGCTACTGAAACTGATACTTGGACCAGGTAATGAGGAGTTCTGTGCTACTTTATCCTGCAGCAAAGCCCTAATCTGGTGCTTCTGTTGTTAAAAACTGGGAATGTTGATAGGAAATATTTCATCTCCAGGTGCAAAACTGCTTTCATGCTGCTGGATTGCTTGTGGTAAAGTTTTGTAGAAAACAAGAGTTCCTTGTTTGTGTTTTAACAAACTTAGAAAATGAGTTATTTTGTGCTTAAGGCTGAGAGTAGCCAAGATTAATTTCTTTTAACTGAAATTAATTTTAAAGTAGCACTTTGATAGTATATGATAAAGATTAAAGCTCTGTAGGAGTTTCTCACAACACAGCAAAGCTTAGAGCTACAGAAATACCTTTTGTCTCCCAAAAGCAAGAGTCTCTCTTTTCCTGCCTCCTCCCTTCTCACATTACATTTAAATATCTCTGATGTGACCACCCCGGTGAGATTATTCAAACAGGGACTTTAAAAAC